CTGAGCAAGACACTGACCAGGAGGATGGGTGCGGCCACAAGGCTGGCCTCGACGAGCACCTGTAAAAAGCTGATAGGTGCACGAAGGGTGAACAACACCTCGCTGGGGCTGGCGCTGTCCTGGCCCCGAAACCTGCTGTTGTCGCTGCTGCTGCAAGGGCTGCTGCGAGGGGAGGGGCTGCTGCTGCCGCTGGGCCAGGTACCACGCCGCTGCTCCACCCGGCGCGGCCGGCAGACCAAAAGGTGGTTAACGAACCCGGGTGTCGCCTCCACTAGTTGCAGTAGGGGAGTCACTGGCCGCTGCACGAGACGCCTCTCCAGGCCCTGCGCTCCCTCCGCCACCAGTCTGCACGCCACCCCCGCCACCTCCGCCTCCAACGCCTCCACCGCCGCCGCCACCTGTACCCTGACCGCCACTCTTGCCACCTCTACCTCGAGACCGCGAAAAAGTCGTAACAGCAGCTGTGGTCACGTCAGTAGTAGCAGTGGCTAGAGAGGCTGTAAAGGTGGGCAGCTGAGGGACAGTGCACCCGTGGAACAGTGGAGGGGGCACATCACCAGAGGCGGAGGCTACGGAGCGGAGGTTGCTCTTGACGTCCTTGAGCGCAGACTCAAGGACCTCGATAGTGAGCTCACAAGGGTGCTTCAGAAGAAGCGTGTCACGGGCTGAGGCAAGGCGGTCAGGGAGGCTAGTGGCGATGAAGTAGATAGTAATTGTCATGGGGGGAAGAAGCAGTGCAAGTTGTGCCTCAGTGCAAGCAGCGCGGTAGCTAGAATCAAGCGAGCGGAGGTGAGCAATCAAGTCAGCAAAGCGCTCAAAAGAGGCGAGGTCAGGGAACAGGAACGGTAGGAAGAGTCGGCCAAGAGAGACAGTAGTGGGAGTAGCATAGCGGGCCTTAATCGCAGTCAAGAACTCACTAGCAGTGCGAACCTGAGTGAAGTGGGCCTCCTTAGACTCAGGGAAGAGGCTGCTAAGAGCAATGCAGGCCGCAGCGTCACGCGACTTCCACGCCGTCAGGTCAGCACGCTGGCGGGTGGAGCGGACCCTGGATGCGTCGTCAGGGGCGGGGCCTAAAGGCGTAGGGTCGTCGGGCGCTGGAAGGTCACCAGTAGCGTGCGCCCAAAGGAACTCGCCCGCCTGAACCTGACTCTCTAAAAGGCGACGCGCGCGTAGGAGCTAGACCGGAAACTCCAGCGGTCTACCGACAGCGTCAAAGCGAAGAACCCTAGGGGTCGCCATAGTGTAAGTAGAAGCGACAAGTCCGGCGGTGGGTGGCACTGGTAGGTACGGTGGGCGGTTAGGGCAAGTCCGTGATGGGCGCAAAACGCGGGCGCAACGGGGCTAGGGGCGGTCCCGCGGCGGACTGAACGAGTAGGCGCAGCGGTGCGAAGGAAGGGCCTAACGAGCGGGCCCGTAGCGGACCTAACGAGGAGGCGCGGCGGCTGGCAGAACTGGCAGGCGCGGCGGCTGTAAGGGAGGGCCCGCGGCGGGCCTAAATAGTAGGCGCGGCGGCGGGCGGTACGGGCAGGCGCGGCGGCTATAACTGAGGGCCCGCGGCGGCTGTAAGGGAGGGCCCGCGGCAGGCCTAACGAGCAGGCGCGGCGACGGGAAGAGCGGGGCGCCGCGACAACTAAATGCGGGGCGCCGCGACGACGAAATGCGGGGCGCCGCGGCGACGAGGCGACGGAAATAAAGGGTGCTGCGGCGACAGGAGCGGGCGTTTAGGGCAGCGGGGGGAGGACGCGACGCGACGGGCAGGGTGGGAGGGCACGCCGCGACGAGCAGCGGGGGAGGGCGTGATGGGACGGGAAGCCGGGGAGAGCGCTATGCTACGCGGAAAGCAGGTCGGCGGAGCGGGCGCTACGCTACGCGGAAAGCAGGTCGGCGGAGTGGGCGCTACGCTACGCTACGCGGAAAGCAGGTCGGTGGAGAGGGCGCTAACAAACGAGCGAGACTGGATCGGACCGGCGCTAGGCTCGGGCAAGACGGGTACGACTAGTATGAGAGAGCGAGACATGCTCGGGCGGAACGACCGAGGACGGGAGGAGCGGGATCCCACAGGATCCTAACCTAGGTGATACCATGTCAAGAATGAAAGTGTTGTGTTATTAATGAGGGTTGTGGTACATACAGCAAACCCTAACATTTGTACCCCCTAAGACAAACCTCACTACAGGCTACAACATTTGACAGGAGATGGCCTTTGCCCAGTGGTGGTATCCCGTGAAATGCCGTGCCCGCTTTGTTGCGGAGCTCTGCGACAGGCAGGGCTGGGAGGGTATAAGAGGGTGCATCGCGAAGCAGCAGTATTAGGGCAGGTTACCTCACGATCCGGTTGCGAGCGAATCAGAGGTTGTTCAGTTGTACTTTATGTTACAGTCGTTCTGTCAGAATATTATCTTATTGTTCTAGCCTGTAGTGGGGTGCTCTATAGCGAGTACAACCCTTCTAGGGTTTTGCTATTTGTATCCTCATTCCTGCTAGTTCAATCCTCTTTCTTTCTTCAAACTTTGACATGCTATCAGAGCAGGTCGATCCCCTTGGATCGAACCTGTGGGTGGGTTACCACCTCGCTTCCGCTGCTACCTTTCCTCCCCGCCGTGCGCCCCGAGGCGCGCGGCGGTTTTCCTTCCCGCCGTGCGCCCCGAGGCGCGCGGCGGTTTTCTGCCCGCCGTGCGCCCCGTGGCGCGCGGCGGCTATCTGCCCGCTGTGCGCCCCGAGGCGCGCGGCGGGCGTCTGCCCTACTGTCGCGGCCCCGCCCCTCGAAGCGGCCCCGCCCTACGTCGCGGCCCCGCCCCGACCGTCGCGGCCCCGCCCTCGTCGCGGCCCCGCCCTACGTCGCGGCCCCGCCCTACGTCGCGGCCCCGCCCCGACCGTCGCGGCCCCGCTCTCGTCGCGGCCCCGCCCTACGTCGCGGCCCCGCCCTGCGTCGCGGCCCCGCCCCTCGAAGCGGCCCCGCCCTACGTCGCGGCCCCGCCCCGGTCCCTTCGCGGCCCCGCCCTACCTTCGCGGCCCCGCCCTACGTTGCGGCCCCGCCGCCGACCTGTCGCGGCCCCGCCCTGCGTCGCGGCCCCGCCCCTACGTCGCGGCCCCGCCCCGCTCGTCGCGGCCCCGCCCCTTGTCGCGGCCCCGCCCTCCAACCAGGCCCGTGGTGGGCCCCTTTCACCACACCCCCCCCCCCCCCCCCCCTCCCCCCACCCCCCATCTCCCGTCGTCCGTCGTGGCGACCTGAGGGGGCCGCTTGGCGGGTATGGGGGTGGCCGGTGTGCCTTCCTCCCTTTGTCCTCCTCCTCCTTCGTCTCCCACTGCTGCAGCTGTCGCTGAGGGGGGTGGTTGTGTGGGAGACTGGGGTTTAGGGCTTAAGGGGGGTGCGTGGGAGTGCAGCTAGCGGTGTAGCAGTGGGTGTGCATCAGGGGGGTGGGACTGTGTGCAGGAGGTTGAGTGGAGGTTGTCAGTTTGTCGTTCGCAGCACCTGTAGTCCGGGGCGCTGTCCCGGTAGCCCAGTCGTAGCCAGCTGTGCCAGCCGCCCGTGGGTCCGATGCCCGTCTGCCGCTACTTGAGCCGCGGGGCCAGTTACTCCAGTAGTCCGGAGCGCTGTTCCGGTAGCCGCTGTGCCAGTGTGCCTCCTGTTGCCCGTGTGCCTGCAGCTTCAGCCGTCGCCTCCTATCTCCTCTCCCCTCACTCTCTCTCCTCCTCCTCACTTGCCCGTTGTGACTACCACTAGCTCTGCTCATAATTGTGAACTCTAAACTATCTCTTCTTGAACTTGTGCTCAGAATGTGTGGTGACATTGTGATCCACCCTGAGCTTGTACTACCTTGCCTGCTCTGCTGATTACACCCCACTTTGGCTATGGGGGTGTGTCAGAATATTATCTTATTGTTCTAGCCTGTAGTGGGGTGCTCTATAGCGAGTACAACCCTTCTAGGGTTTTGCTATTTGTATCCTCATTCCTGCTAGTTCAATCCTCTTCCTTTCTTCAAACTTTGACACGTTCAGAGAGTAAGATTTTGTTGGTAGCATATGCACACCAGCACACCACAAGTGGGTCCATTCACCAATTAGAGCGTGTTCCTACAGCCTCGTATCAGGTAACCTCGTACAGATTCGCGTCGAACCGCACTGAAACGCATTCAAATGCAGTCGAACGCACTGTAACGTATTTCACCATGCGAAGCTGATACGAGGTGTTTCTGATATAAGGTGTAGGAACACGCTCTTACTGCCCTTCCAGCTGAGGTTCTCAATCAGTGAACATTAATCGATTAATTGATTCAATTGTCAGCATAGCACATTAAACAAAAGCATTCACCTCTCGTAAAATGTACACTACTGCACAAAGACAGACTGACTGACAGGCCCTCAGATTGGTTTGAGGGTATGCTGATGGATCAGCGTGCCCCGGCCAATGAGGTGTCCAAATCAGCGTTCACTGTTTTTTTTATACTGATTTTGCCAGTGTAAAAATCATAAGTAAACTGAACCAACAGTGTAGAAACAAAAAACTATAGCTGAAACCCCAGTACAAGGTGTGTGGTGTTGTTGCTGTGATAGGTTCCAGCGGCGCGCACCTGATATCTGTGCAGTGCATGCGAAAAAATGCCAAGCGTGTGGGTGGGGTGTCAGGAATCACGGGAAGGTACAGATAGGACACGCGTACCCTATCATCCCCCCTCCCCCCCCCCCCCCCCCCCCCACACACACATGCGCAGTCAACTCCGTTTCAGTGTGACTCACGTCACTATACTGATTCGTCAGTGTTACTTGTACAGCAACACGCAAAATGGTCAGTGTGGCAACGTAGGTTATACTGAAATTTCAGTGCAAAATTGAGGCATATGCTGAATTTTCAGGGAAAACGAAAATCACAGCTACAAAATCAGCGTAATCAGCGTGTTTTACGCTGATATCTGAGGGCCTGCTGACTGACCTATGCCACTTGGTACCTAGAATTGAGCTGCCGAATCTCTTAGAACTGTGCTGCAGTTACAACATGATGCTCAGCCAATGAGCTCGGAGATAGGTGGCCTCTCCATGACATAAGCTGACTGCTTTGCCGCCTTGGCCAATGAGGGATCGATGCCTGGAAGGTACGGGATCTGCACACGGAGAGTTCGAGGGGAGAGGAGAGAGGTGGAAAAGGCGGAGGCAGGGATAACGTGAGAGGCAATAAGAAGAGCGAGCGAGGGTGGGAGAAAGGGAGAGTGGGGACATGGAGGAGAGTGAGAGAGGTAGGGCACGTAACAAGGCATTCCGGAAACAGAGAGATAATGCTTTACATGGGGCGATGATGCTTGTGATAGAGAGAGGTGATATCTGAGGCGGTTGGAGCGATGACATGGCACAACAAACCTGAGAAAGTATATCAATGGTGCGCCTTAGCAGCCGCGCAATGTCCCCCTCGTCCAGCCCTGCACAGTCAGTGATGAGCTGGCGCCACGTCACACCCTGCGCCCACGCCTCCACCACTCCAGCGAACTGCGCGTCCAGGTCAGCAGGGATTGCCACGTTGGCAGCCAGCTGGAGCTGCATCAGCCAATCGCGGCGCTCTTCAGCTTCGTACACCCACTCTTGCACCTCCCAGGAAGGCTCGTACGGGAAGGAGGACGAACTGGCGGGGCGAGGGTGGGGGGACGGGGTAAGTGAGACCAAAGGGCACGGGATAAGGGATAGGGCAGATGCGAAAAGCAAGTTCTGGATCGACTCGAAACAAACCCGCACATACACCCACTCCTGCACATCCCAGGAAGGCTCATAAGGGAAGGAGGGCGAACTGGCAGGGTGGGGGGAGGAGGAGTTGAGAGCAAGGATGAGATGAAAGGCTAGGGCATAAGGGAGATGGCACATGTGGAGGACAAGTTGTGAGACGTCTCAGACCATGCCTCACACACCCACTCCCGCACCTGCCAGGACGGCTTGTAGGGGAAGGAGGGCGAACTGGCAGGGTGGGTGTTAGGGTGCAAGAAAAGGGAAAGGGCAAAACGGGAGAGCGAGGGAGGGTTTATGGTTGACACCTGACGCTTCTCACCTCTGCACTAGCACTCGTCCCCTGCTGCTGTCTCCCGTACGCATGTGCATGCCCTCAGAACCCACCACAACAACTCACCTGCCGTCGCCTGTGCGCATGAGCACGCCCTCAGTCACCAGAGCAGTGCAGCAACCCACTATGGCTGGCCGTGAGAGGCACTGGAGGGAGGAGTTGCTCGCCTCTGCACTGCTACTGCCCACCTGCCATCCGCTGTTCTCATGCACGTGCAAAATGCCACCGTTACAAGCCCTCACCTGCCGTCGCCTGTGCGCATGCGCATGCCTTCAGACACCAGAGCAGCACAGCACCCCGCTATGGCTGGAGGAGAGAGGCGTGGGAGGGAGGGGTGGGAGAGCGCCACTGCGATCCACAACTCGTTCACCCCTCGCACCTGCGGGCAGGAGATGGAGCAGGAAGAAGGGAGACAGGAGAAGGAACAAGAGAGTTGGGATAGAGAGGGAGTGCATAAGATGGAGGGGTGCGAGAGTGCCACTGTGATCCACAGCTCGTTCACCACTCGCACCTGCGGGCAGGAGATGGAGCAGGAAGAAGGGAGACAGGAGAAGGAACAAGAGAGTTGGGATAGAGAGGGAGTGCATAAGATGGAGGGGTGCGAGAGTGCCCCTGTGATCCACAGCTCGTTCACCCCTCGCACCTGCGGGCAGGAGATGGAGCAGGAAGAAGGGAGACAGGAGAAGGAACAAGAGAGTTGGGATAGAGAGGGAGTGCATAAGATGGAGGGGTGCGAGAGTGCCACTGTGATCCACAGCTCGTTCACCCCTCGCACCTACGGGCAGGAGATGGAGCAGGAAGAAGGGAGATAGGAGAAGGAACAAGAGAGTTGGGATAGAGAGGGAGTGCATAAGATGAAGGGGTGCGAGAGTGCCACTGTGATCCACAGCTCGTTCACCCCTATGTTGGAATATACGCGATTAGCGTATATTTGCGTTTCGTATATACGCTAACGTGTATACACCATACACTTAAGGGTCAGATTGGGCATACGCTTTTCCGGGCAGGGAAAACACCTTCCCGGGCAGGGTGAAAAAAACTGCGTGCTCAACATCCGGGAAGGTAGGTACTCCCTACCCAATTCCCAGTAAGACTTCGCTAGCCTTTTCCCAAGTCTGAACGGTGGTTGCGGTGGGATGCGGAGTAGATCGCTAGAAGTAGGAATTGGAAGGAAAGTTGTTGGGAAGCGGGAATGTAAAGTAGAAATCTTGAGTGCAGTTGGGCTGGCTGGCTGGCTGGTGAGTAGCGTGAGTGTGAGGTGGTTGGGGGAACACTTTTGACAGGTTGGAGTTTGTAGATAGGATGGGTTTCAATGCGGTACAAATCGAAAGGTCAAGTTGGAACTACCAGAATACTTCAAAAGCACATTCCCGCTTCCCTAGACCGCCGAATTGCATTTCGACTTCGGCGAAATGCTCACCAGGAGAATCCGCATCTTCTCGTACACTTACGATTTTTTTCCCGGGCAGCCCCAAAAAAAATCTGACTGTGTATAGCGTATTAGCGTGCGTATAGCGTTTTGTGTATATACGCAAGCGTATATACGCATACGCTTATGGGTCTGAGCGTATATTCCAACATAGGCACCCCTCGCACCTGCAGGCAGGAGATGGAGCAGGAAGAAGGGAGACAGGAGAAGGAACAAGAGAGTTGGGATAGAGAGGGAGTGCATAAGATGGAGGGGTGCGAGAGTGCCACTGTGATCCACAGCTCGTTCACCCCTCGCACCTGCGGGCAGGAGATGGAGCAGGAAGAAGGGAGACAGGAGAAGGAACAAGAGAGTTGGGATAGAGAGGGAGTGCATAAGATGGAGGGGTGCGAGAGTGCCACTGTGATCCACAGCTCGTTCACCCCTCGCACCTGCGGGCAGGAGATGGAGCAGGAAGAAGGGAGACAGGAGAACGAACAAGAGAGTTGGGATAGAGAGGGAGTGCATAAGATGGAGGGGTGCGAGAGTGCCACTGTGATCCACAGCTCGTTCACCCTTCGCACCTGCGGGCAGGAGATGGAGCAGGAAGAAGGGAGACAGGAGAAGGAACAAGAGAGTTGGGATAGAGAGGGAGTGCATAAGATGAAGGGGTGCGAGAGTGCCACTGTGATCCACAGCTCGTTCACCCCTTGCACCTGCGGGCAGGAGATGGAGCAGGAAGAAGGGAGACAGGAGAAGGAACAAGAGAGTTGGGATAGAGAGGGAGTGCATAAGATGGAGGGGTGCGAGAGTGCCACTGTGATCCACAGCTCGTTCACCCCTCGCACCTGCGGGCAGGAGATGGAGCAGGAAGAAGGGAGATAGGAGAAGGAACAAGAGAGTTGGGATAGAGAGGGAGTGCATAAGATGGAGGGGTGCGAGAGTGCCACTGTGATCCACAGCTCGTTCACCCCTCGCACCTGCGGGCAGGAGATGGAGCAGGAAGAAGGGAGACAGGAGAACGAACAAGAGAGTTGGGATAGAGAGGGAGTGCATAAGATGGAGGGGTGCGAGAGTGCCACTGTGATCCACAGCTCGTTCACCCCTCGCACCTGCGGGCAGGAGATGGAGCAGGAAGAAGGGAGACAGGAGAACGAACAAGAGAGTTGGGATAGAGAGGGAGTGCATAAGATGGAGGGGTGCGAAAGTGCCACTGTGATCCACAGCTCGTTCACCCCTCGCACCTGTGGGCAGGAGATTGAGCAGGAAGAAGGGAGACAGGAGAACGAACAAGAGAGTTGGGATAGAGAGGGAGTGCATAAGATGGAGGGGTGCGAGAGTGCCACTGTGATCCACAGCTCGTTCACCCCTCGCACCTGCGGGCAGGAGATGGAGCAGGAAGAAGGGAGACAGGAGAAGGAACAAGAGAGTTGGGATAGAGAGGGAGTGCATAAGATGGAGGGGTGCGAGAGTGCCACTGTGATCCACAGCTCGTTCACCCCTCGCACCTGCGGGCAGGAGATGGAGCAGGAAGAAGGGAGACAGGAGAACGAACAAGAGAGTTGGGATAGAGAGGGAGTGCATAAGATGGAGGGGTGCGAGAGTGCCACTGTGATCCACAGCTCGTTCACCCCTCGCACCTGTGGGCAGGAGATTGAGCAGGAAGAAGGGAGACAGGAGAACGAACAAGAGAGTTGGGATAGAGAGGGAGTGCATAAGATGGAGGGGTGCGAGAGTGCCACTGTGATCCACAGCTCGTTCACCCCTCGCACCTGCGGGCAGGAGATGGAGCAGGAAGAAGGGAGACAGGAGAAGGAACAAGAGAGTTGGGATAGAGAGGGAGTGCATAAGATGGAGGGGTGCGAGAGTGCCACTGTGATCCACAGCTCGTTCACCCCTCGCACCTGCGGGCAGGAGATGGAGCAGGAAGAAGGGAGACAGGAGAAGGAACAAGAGAGTTGGGATAGAGAGGGAGTGCATAAGATGGAGGGGTGCGAGAGTGCCACTGTGATCCACAGCTCGTTCACCCCTCGCACCTGCGGGCAGGAGATGGAGCAGGAAGAAGGGAGACAGGAGAACGAACAAGAGAGTTGGGATAGAGAGGGAGTGCATAAGATGGAGGGGTGCGAAAGTGCCACTGTGATCAACAGCTCGTTCACCCCTCGCACCTGTGGGCAGGAGATTGAGCAGGAAGAAGGGAGACAGGAGAAGGAACAAGAGAGTTGGGATAGAGAGGGAGTGCATAAGATGGAGGGGTGCGAGAGTGCCACTGTGATCCACAGCTCGTTCACCCCTCGCACCTGCGGGCAGGAGATGGAGCAGGAAGAAGGGAGACAGGAGAAGGAACAAGAGAGTTGGGATAGAGAGGGAGTGCATAAGATGGAGGGGTGCGAGAGTGCCACTGTGATCCACAGCTCGTTCACCCCTCGCACCTGCGGGCAGGAGATGGAGCAGGAAGAAGGGAGACAGGAGAACGAACAAGAGAGTTGGGATAGAGAGGGAGTGCATAAGATGGAGGGGTGCGAGAGTGCCACTGTGATCCACAGCTCGTTCACCCTTCGCACCTGCGGGCAGGAGATGGAGCAGGAAGAAGGGAGACAGGAGAAGGAACAAGAGAGTTGGGATAGAGAGGGAGTGCATAAGATGAAGGGGTGCGAGAGTGCCACTGTGATCCACAGCTCGTTCACCCCTTGCACCTGCGGGCAGGAGATGGAGCAGGAAGAAGGGAGACAGGAGAAGGAACAAGAGAGTTGGGATAGAGAGGGAGTGCATAAGATGGAGGGGTGCGAGAGTGCCACTGTGATCCACAGCTCGTTCACCCCTCGCACCTGCGGGCAGGAGATGGAGCAGGAAGAAGGGAGATAGGAGAAGGAACAAGAGAGTTGGGATAGAGAGGGAGTGCATAAGATGGAGGGGTGCGAGAGTGCCACTGTGATCCACAGCTCGTTCACCCCTCGCACCTGCGGGCAGGAGATGGAGCAGGAAGAAGGGAGACAGGAGAACGAACAAGAGAGTTGGGATAGAGAGGGAGTGCATAAGATGGAGGGGTGCGAGAGTGCCACTGTGATCCACAGCTCGTTCACCCCTCGCACCTGCGGGCAGGAGATGGAGCAGGAAGAAGGGAGACAGGAGAACGAACAAGAGAGTTGGGATAGAGAGGGAGTGCATAAGATGGGGGGGTGCGAAAGTGCCACTGTGATCCACAGCTCGTTCACCCCTCGCACCTGTGGGCAGGAGATTGAGCAGGAAGAAGGGAGACAGGAGAACGAACAAGAGAGTTGGGATAGAGAGGGAGTGCATAAGATGGAGGGGTGCGAGAGTGCCACTGTGATCCACAGCTCGTTCACCCCTCGCACCTGCGGGCAGGAGATGGAGCAGGAAGAAGGGAGACAGGAGAAGGAACAAGAGAGTTGGGATAGAGAGGGAGTGCATAAGATGGAGGGGTGCGAGAGTGCCACTGTGATCCACAGCTCGTTCACCCCTCGCACCTGCGGGCAGGAGATGGAGCAGGAAGAAGGGAGACAGGAGAAGGAACAAGAGAGTTGGGATAGAGAGGGAGTGCATAAGATGGAGGGGTGCGAGAGTGCCACTGTGATCCACAGCTCGTTCACCCCTCGCACCTGTGGGCAGGAGATTGAGCAGGAAGAAGGGAGACAGGAGAACGAACAAGAGAGTTGGGATAGAGAGGGAGTGCATAAGATGGAGGGGTGCGAGAGTGCCACTGTGATCCACAGCTCGTTCACCCCTCGCACCTGCGGGCAGGAGATGGAGCAGGAAGAAGGGAGACAGGAGAAGGAACAAGAGAGTTGGGATAGAGAGGGAGTGCATAAGATGGAGGGGTGCGAGAGTGCCACTGTGATCCACAGCTCGTTCACCCCTCGCACCTGCGGGCAGGAGATGGAGCAGGAAGAAGGGAGACAGGAGAAGGAACAAGAGAGTTGGGATAGAGAGGGAGTGCATAAGATGGAGGGGTGCGAGAGTGCCACTGTGATCCACAGCTCGTTCACCCCTCGCACCTGCGGGCAGGAGATGGAGCAGGAAGAAGGGAGACAGGAGAACGAACAAGAGAGTTGGGATAGAGAGGGAGTGCATAAGATGGAGGGGTGCGAGAGTGCCACTGTGATCCACAGCTCGTTCACCCCTCGCACCTGGGTGAGGGGCAGACGGAGGGGTGAGGAGAGTTTTGGTGAGGAGGAGGACAGTCAGGGGCAGGTCCCGACATGGATGGGAGGGAGGGGTGCGAGACGGGCACTGCTACTGACAGCTCGTTGATCCCTCACACCTGCGTAAGCGGGGAGACCTGCGTAAGCGGGGAGACGGGAGACGGGAGACGGGAGGGAGGAGCCATTGGCAGCAAAGCAATGGCTCCTGACCTTGGCTGAAGAAACAGCTGTATTTCACACCACATAAGTGTGCAGCGTACCTCAATCCTGATAGTGATGGAGCTCAACTGATTGATTAGGAAAGAAGGCACTAGGCCTTAAGTACAAACGAGGTTGGGATGGGCAAGGCTAGGGAAAGGATGGGATGGGAATCCTAGCAAATCTCCAATTGGTGAGTTGGCAGATTTGCAGGATTACGAGGGAATCCCAACCAGATAGGGTTGGGATCACAAACTACACCCAACCCGCAAATAACCTACGCGATATAGAATATAGTACACAAAGTGTTGACAGCCTAATTCTAACAAATCCATCCACAAGAAAAAATGGATTTGAACCGCAGCAAGCGAAGCGGTCTCCTCTGAATTCTTAGCTAAAAGCTCGGGGTACTTAGAGTGGGAGAAAAGTTAGAATCAGGACTTGGTAAGTCCAACGTCAGTAAAGAGCGTAGGCATAGGCGTTTCGGCCGTGAGGCCTTCGTCAGCACGATAGGATTACAAAAGGAAAGACTCTTTTAACCCCTTTTCTACCTATTTCCCTTTCTCCTCTATCTTCCCCGCACTCCCCTAGGTCTGAACAAACTCCAGGTGTAATCTACCCAAACTGCAAGCAACTGCCAAGTCGCATCACCCTTGCCAACGCGGACAAATAGTCCTGAAGGAATCCATGCGACCCACTACACTACCTGACCCAGCACCTGATTCAGTACCTGAAGAAACACCTGACCCAGCACCTGAAGAAACACCTGACCCAGCATGTGCACGACCACTCCACCCACCACATGAAAAAGCACCTGATCCACCTGCCATCTCGAGTATCACTCACCTTTGCAGCGATCTCTCCCAGAGGCATAAGCGTGCTGCTCTGCAGGTCCAGCGCATCCGCCTGAGCCAGCACCTGAACCACCTGAACAAACTCCTGCCACCCCGCTGGCTGCATCCCTGCAATCCGCCTCCTCAGCGCCTCCACCCGCCTCCCCACCTTCCCCTCCTCATACTCACACCTCCCCATCTCCGTCATCTGCTGCTGCCGCCGCTTATACACCGCCGAAGCCTTCACTCTCTTTCTAGTTTGGGATAGCTTCTGCTTGTGTGACTTGAGGGCGGCTTCGAGGGAGGAGAGTGATGAGGGGAGGGTGAGGTGATTGGAGTCTTCTGAAGGGGAGAGGGGGGAGATGGGGGACCAGCCTTGGGGGAAGCGGATGGCGGAGGTGAGGTGGAGGAGGGGGGTTTTGGATTTGATTCGCCAGACGCTGAATGTGGGGTGAGGGGTGGATAGCCACGAGGCAAATTGTGATTCGCTTTCAGTGGTGCTGGTGGGTAAGGAGTCTCCTGCAGCTCCCAAATCCCGATCTCCCATTTGCCCAATCACTCCCTCGTTCCCATTCTCTCCCCACTTGCCCCTTCCACTTTCCTCTTCTCCTCCTCCCACCTCTGTTCTCTCCCCTTTCTCCCCTCCGCTCCCCCTGAGCCATCCCTGTAGCATCTCCGGCACAGGCGGCAGGAAAAGTTTCAGCTTTGCCGCCCGCTGCCACCCAGCCGTCTCATCTGCCTCGTCCTGCCGGCCATCCGGCCAGAGGTACCTGCCAACGAGCTGCCGCCCGTCGGCCGCTGACATGGCGAGCTCCGATTGGTCGGTGGGGTCGTACTGCGCTCTGATTAGCTGGCGGATGCAGGGCGAGGGGAGGATGTACCAATGGGAATCCTCCCCTATAACTGCCACGTAGGACGGCGATGAGGAGAGAGAGGATGGGGAGGAAGAGGAGGAAGAGGAGGATGATGGAGTGGTGCTGGTTCTATGGTCACTGTTGTTTAGACCGCCCAAGTGAGCCACCGTTTTCAGTCCTTGGGCCTCTCTCCCTTCCTCCTCCTCCTCCTGCTCCCTTCCCCTCTCCCTTCCCCTCTCCCTTCCCTCTCCCCCCCTTCCACTATTCCGCAAACTCCTCTTTCCATCCCCCTTTCCCTTCACCACTCTTCCCTTCGCCACTCTCCCCATATCACCACCCTCCTCCTCCCCCACCCCTCCTTCCTCCGCCCAGTCCTCCCCCTCCTCCTGCAGGTACGGGGGCAGCGCCTCCAGCTGCCCAACCAGCAGCCCCCGAACCGACCGCACAGCCCCGGACGCCAGGTCCGGGAACTGCGCGGTTACCACGAGCCTGCGCCCCGCAGGTGCGGGAGCGGGGCGAGCAGCACCATTCCCACCAGGCACAGTAAAATCACCAGCACCATTCATCCCACCAGCAGATGCTGAAGTTTCAACTGCAGGCAAATCATCAGAGGCAGCAGCACCATCTGTAGCGGCAGCAACGGCAGCAGCAGCAACGGGTGCTTCATGCGCCTCGTCAACCTTGTCAGCCCAGAGCAAGGCGTCCTGTATCTGGGGGTCGAGGGCGGATGCTCGCTGCTGAAACACCTGCCTCTGCAGTGTTGCCACCGTGTGCCGCGTGGACTGAGGGAGAAGTGGGGTGTGGGGGAAAGGGGGAGAGGGCGAGATTATGATCGCACAGGGCGGGAGGAGTGGAGGGTGCCGGCGTGTGTGAGGAGATGTGACAAGAGGATGCGATGTGGGCAGGGAGGAAGGGAGAGAGTGAGCACAACAGGAAGAGCGGCACGTGAATCAATGCCTCCCCACACCGCTCTCAACCCATTTAACCCATAAACTCACCACGAACTCCCCCACCATGGCTCGGAACGCCCCTGTCACCTCATCCTCCCCCATGCCATGTCCTCTCCTCATCCCTTCCTCCCCATCCCCACCACCTCCCCCAGCCCTTTCCCCCCACCACCTCCCCCAGCCCTTTCCCCCCACCACCTCCCCCAGCCCATTCCCCCCACCACTCACCATGAACTCGCCCACCATGGCTCGGAATGCGCCTGTCACCTCGTCCTCCCCCTCCTCCTCGCTCCGCATCTGCCTCTCCACCTCCCCTCTGCGCTGCCTCAGCTGCGCCAGCTTCTCCTCCAACGTTGCTAGCTGCTGCCGAGCCTGCTGCAGCACCTGTGGAGAGGCAAAGAGGAGGGAGGTGGGAAAGGTGGGGAAGGTGGGGAAGGTGGGGGTTTCAAACGTGGCAATTGTTCCTTTGCACTCCACATCTTCCTCTCCTCCGGCGCTGCCAACTACGACCAACCCCTTTTGAGGCGCCTCAAAAGCTGCCAACTACGACCAACCCCTACGTCACACATCTCCACGCACGGGCCACGCCAGGTAGGGCGTTCACATGGCGCTCACTCACATGGCGTTCACATGGCGCTCACATGGCGCTCACATGGCGTTCACATGGCGCTCACATGGCGTTCACATGGCGCTCACATGGCGTTCATATGGCGTTCACATGGCGCTCACATGGCGCTCACATGGCGCTCACATGGCGCTCACATGGCGTTCACATGGCGTTCACATGGCGCTCACATGGCGTTCACATGGCACTCACATGGCACTCACATGGCGTTCTCATGCCATGCATTCTCACGCCAAAGCTCACTTGGCATTCTCATGTCATACTCACACTGTCTCACACTCTCACTTGTTGTAATTTCATATTTCATACAACATACATAGGCTAGAAGTGTAGCACATTTATAAATTGGGGGGTTGCTTAGTGTACCTCCAACCACATTTTGTGGTTGGTTGGGATTGGTCCTTAGCTCAACCAATCCCAACCAACACACATTTGTGGTTGCTTGGGTTGGGTCACAAGCAAGCTCACCCATTGGCCAACTTATTGGCCAATAGGGTAAGCTTCCCTCTCATCTCTCTCTTGCTCATTGTTTGTACTAAAGAGCCTCTTGGCTCATTATTCAATGTATCAATTCTAGCTTTCCAACATGGTATCATGAGCTATTGGCTCACGCCTTGATCCCTCGGTCCTTAGGCCACCCTCTCCTCCCCGTCCCTCAGACGTAGTCCTACTACGGTGCTCCCAAGCTCAGATTCACTTCTCCCGAGCTCACATCTCCTCCTCCCGAGCTCCGATCTACTCCTCCCCAGCTCAGATTTACTCCTCCCGAGCTCAGATCTACTCCTCCCCAGCTCAGATCTACTCCTCCCGAGCTCAGATCTACTCCTCAACAGCTCAGATCTACTCCTCCCGAGCTCAGATCTACTCCTCAACAGCTCAGATCTACTCCTCCCGAGCTCAGATCTACTCCTCCCGAGCTCACATCTCCTCCTCCCGAGCTCAGATCTACTCCTCCCGAGCTCAGATCTACTCCTCCCCAGCTCAGATCTACTCCTCCCGAGCTCAGATCTACTCCTCAACAGCTCAGATCTACTCCTCCCGAGCTCATATCTACTCCTCCCGAGCTCAGATCTACTCCTCCCAAGCTCCCATCTCCTCCTCCCGAGCTCAGAATTACTCCTCCCGAGCTCAGATCTACTCCTCCCCAGCTCAGATCTACTCCTCCCGAGCTCAGATCTACTCCTCCCGAGCTCAGATCTACTCCTCTCGAGCTCACACCTCCTCCTCACGAGCTCAGATCTACTCCTCCCGCGCCCTGCTCTACTCCTCCTGCCCTCAGATCTGCGCATTTCGCGCTCAGATCTGCACATTCCGCACTCAGATCTACTCTCCCGCGCCCAAATCTGCATTCCGCGTGCTCAGATCTGCAACTCGCACGCCCTTGCTAGGGCGGTGGGCAGGGGACTAGCAAGGGCGTGCTCGTCCGCCCTTCGCGTCCCCGCCCTGCCCGTCCCCTGCCCACCTCCCTGGCATACAACACATCTGCACACGCATACAGCACATCTGACAGCACATACCGCACACCTGACAGCACATACCGCACACCTGACAGCACATACCGCACACCTGGGAGCACATACAGCACACCTGACAGCACATACCGCACACCTGGGAGCACATACAGCACACCCGCCTACGCATACCGTCAGCTGCCTGCGCACACCTTCATGCCCATGCTCGGCCTGCGCCATTGCCTGTGACCCACCGCCCCACACCCCACATTGCTTCCCCCATGGCAACAGTTGCGCTCGCATGACATCAGCAGTTGGTTTTTGCCGGTGGGCAGGGAGGAGGCATAGTGGCAGCTGTGGTGGTGGTCAAGGGTCAGACTCGCAGGGCTATTGTCTTTTGGTGTCAGGGGTTGTTGAGCGCAGGCTGCGGCCGCAGCAGGCAGCCTTCTCTCCTCGTGAATACTGCTGCCTCGCTAGCGTGCCCGCACTCGAGGACTTCAGTGTAAACTTCTCCCCCCAAGCCCACCATTGCCCCGAGTCAACCCTTCTCTCTACCTCACCTCCCTTCCTCCTCTCCTCCTTCCTCCTCCCTACTCCTCCCCATCCTCCTCCTCCTACTCCTCCTCCGACTCCTCCTTCCTCCTCCTCCTCCTCCTATCCTCCCTCCTCCTCCCGCATCCTCCTCCTCCTCTCCTCCTCCTCCTCCTCACTCATGCTCTCCTCCTCCTCCTCCTCCTCCTCCTCCTCCTCCTCCTCCTCCTCCTCCTCCTCCTCCTCCTCCTCCTCCTCCTCCTCCTCCTCCTCCTCCTCCTCCTCCTCCTCCTCATCCTCCTCCTCCTCCTCCTCCTCCTCCTCCTCCTCCTCCTCCTCCTCCTCCTCCTCCTCCTCCTCCTCCTCCTCCTCCTCCTCCTCCTCCTCCTCCTCCTCCTCCTCCTCCTCCTCCTCCTCCTCCTCCTCCTCCTCCTCCTCCTCCTCCTCCTCCTCCTCCTCCTCCTCCTCCTCCTCCTCCTCCTCCTCCTCCTCCTCCTCCTCCTCCTCCTCCTCCTCCTCCTCCTCCTCCTCCTCCTCCTCCTCCTCCTCCTCCTCCTCCTCCTCCTCCTCCTCCTCCTCCTCCTCCTCCTCCTCCTCCTCCTCCTCCTCCTCCTCCTCCTCCTCCTCCTCCTCCTCCTCCTCCTCCTCCTCCTCCTCCTCCTCCTCCTCCTCCTCCTCCTCCTCCTCCTCCTCCTCCTCCTCCTCCTCCTCTCCTCCTCCTCCTCCTCCTCCTCCTCCTCCTCCTCCTCCTCCTCCTCCTCCTCCTCCTCCTCCTCCTCCTCCTCCTCCTCCTCCTCCTCCTCCTCCTCCTCCTCCTCCTCCTCCTCCTCCTCCTCCTCCTCCTCCTCCTCCTCCTCCTCCTCCTCCTCCTCCTCCTCCTCCTCCTCCTCCTCCTCCTCCTCCTCCTCCTCCTCCTCCTCCTCCTCCTCCTCCTCCTCCTCCTCCTCCTCCTCCTCCTCCTCCTCCTCCTCCTCCTCCTCCTCCTCCTCCTCCTCCTCCTTCTCCTCCTCCTCCTCCGCAGCAACAGCAGCAGCAGCAGCAACCGCAGCAACAGCAGCACCAGCAGCAGCTCTGGCACCTCCTCCTCCAGCTCCAGCAGTTGCTCCACCGCCTGCAGCAGCACCTTGACCTACAACCGCAGCTGCCTCTTCCTCCTCCTCCCCCAACTTCCCAGCAGAACTCAGTTCCGCATTGTTCCACAAGCTCCGCCACTTCAAGCATCGTCCCACCTTTCTCATCCGTTGGTATCGCTGGTATGGTCAATCAAGCCACATCAACTGCACCTGCCGCATACTCCTCTAGCACTAACGAAACTGCGTTCTAGTCCTCTGTCCCTTCCTCCTCCCTCTCCTCCACTGTCGATTTTGTCCTCGACAGCGGCGCCACTGACACAGTTCTTCGCGATGCTAGCACCTTGCGCCCCCTCCCAACGCCTACCTCCCTCCTTGGTGCCGACAGCAGCTTCTCTATCCCCTGCCATAACACCTCGACTCTCCCCTGCCCACTCTTCCCCTCAGGCACTGTCACCGGTCTCCACATACCCTCTCTTCGCGCTAATCTCCTTTCGCAAAGGTCCCTTCAGCAAGCCGGTATCACCACAGTATTCCCAGCTCATGCTAACTATTACGCTCTCTACCATTCCGCCACCGGTCAGTTCCTTTCTCGCATTCCCTTTTGCCCTCCCTCCCGTCTGTACACCCTTCGGGTTCCTCGCCTCCCCTCCTGTCAGGTCATCTCTCGTCCCCCCCTCCACCCTCTCATCCCACCTCCTCCTCTCCCTCCCACTAACCCGGACCTCCCTTCCCGGCCCCCCCTTGACTCCTCTTGCTCCTGTCGCTCCCTCTCCCACCCTGCCGTCCTCCTCCATCACAGGCTAGGTCACCCTAACTTCGCTACTCTACGCTCCTCTGTTTCCACCGGTCTCCTCCACGGTCTCCCCTCCTCCCTCCCTCCCCTCCCCAAATCCCCTGCCCCCCCTTGCACCGTCTGCGTTCAGAGCAAGCTCAAGCAGCAGCCGCACCGGAGCTCCCCCTCCGCTGCTGCGCAGCCACTTGATCTTGTTCACATGGACCTCTGGGCCCCCAATCCCTCTCCCACTCGCCAGGGCCATCGATACCTCCTCGTACTCGTCGATGATCACAGCCGGTACTCGTCCGTCTCTCTCCTTCGGACGAAGGCAGATGCCCCGGCTGCGATCATCGCCTGGCTCGAGCGGGCAAATACCCATTTTGGGCGCCCTGTTCGCCGCCTTCACTCTGATGGTGGTGGTGAGTTCCTTAACAACCAAATATCCTCCTACTGTCAGTCTCATGGCATTCTTCAGACTTACACCCTCCCTCACTCCCAACAGCAGAACGGTGTGGCTGAAAGTCGTGTTCGAGAGATCACCAAAACTGCCCGGTGTCTTCTTGTCCACGCCTCCTGCCCTCCTTCATTGTGGGGCTACGCCCTCCTTCATGCCGCCCTCCTTACTAACCTTTACCCTCACCCTCTTCTCCCATCCACCACCCCCACTGAGCTGTGGACGAACAACAAACCTGATGTCTCGTATCTTCGTGTCTGGGGCTCAAAGGCTTATGTTCTCCTTCACCCCACTGACCGCTCCCGCTCTATGGGAAAGCTTGCCCCTCGTACCCTTCCCTGCATCTTTCTCGGTCATAACTCCTCCTCACCTGACTACCTTTTCCTCCATCCCCCCTCAGGTCGTCTATTCCGCAGTAGGGATGTGGTCTTTGATGAGTCCACTCCCTACTACTCCTCTCCCCCATCCACTGACCCACTCCCCCGTCTTCCCCGTCCCCTTGTCTGGTCTGACACCACCCCTCCCCCACTACTTCCTCCTCCCCCCATTCTCCCTCCCCCCCCCCCCACCGTCGTCCCCATCCCACGGTGCCCCTCCCTCGTCTGGTGATATATTTGACCCGGAACCTCTGTCCTCTCCCGTCTCCCCCACACATTCCTCTCCTAGTGCCCCTCCCGCCCCTCCTTCACCTCCCTCGCCGCCGACTCGTCCTTCCCCCCCTCCCCGCACCGTACTTACCCGGTACCCCCATACCAGGTCACGTGACAGTATCCTTGGTGCACCGCCCCCTGTTACCCTCTCTACCTCTACCCTCCCCCCACTCTCCCCTCTCCTTCACCACTTCTTCCAGGCTGTTCTGCATCAACCTCCTCCTGCAGCAGCCCCCTCTGCCACCTCTCCAGCAGCGGCACCAGCAGCACCGTCCGCAACGGCACCCGCAGCGGCACCAGCAGCAGGACCAGCAGCGGCACCTGCAGCGGGACCAGCAGCGGGACCAGCAGCGGCACCAGCAGCGGGACCAGCAGCGGGACCAGCAGCGGCACCAGCAGCGGGACCAGCAGCGGCACTAGCAGCGGCACCAGCAGCGGCACCAGCAGCGGCACTAGCAGCGGCACCAGCAGCGGCACCAGCAGCGGCACTAGCAGCGGCACCAGCAGCGGCACCAGCAGCGGCACCAGCAGCGGCACCAGCAGCGGCACGTGCAGTGGCACGTGCAGCGGCACCAACGGTCATCCGCTCCTTCCACACCTCCCTCTCCGAGGACTCGCATGAGGAGTTCCTTGACCTCCACCTCTGTGACCCTTCCCTTCTACCCATCACCTTCGACCTTTCTGGGACACCAGTATTCGCATTCTCCTCTGCTCCCTCCGTTTTCATCCCTACCACGTATGAGGAGGCCATGGCTTGCCCCGACGCCCCACTCTGGCTCGCCGCCATTATCAAGGAGCTGGAGGCCTTTGTCGCCAACTCCTCTTTCGTTGATGTGCCTCGCCCTCCCTCCTCTACGAACGTGGTGAAAGGGAAGTGGGTGTTTCGCGTCAAACAGCTGCCAGGGGAGCCGCCCGTCTATAAGGCTCGTTACTGTGCCAAGGGGTTCACGCAGCGGTATGGTTTTGACTTCTTCGATACCTTCTCTCCCACTGCCAAGCCTGCTACTGTTCGCGCAGTGCTCGACCTCGCCGCTCGCCTCAATATGGAGATCCACTCAATGGACGTCTCTAACGCTTTCCTCCAAGGCGTCCTCCGCGAGCTTATCTACATGGAGCGTCCAGCTGGTTTTCACCTTCCCTTCCCTGCAGACTCTGTCTGGCAGCTGCGTCGCCCTGTGTATGGGCTTCGACAGGCCCCGAGGGAGTGGCATGCTAAGCTTGCCGCCACCCTTGCTGAACTTGGGTTCCGCACCTCCCGCTCTGACGCCAGCCTCTTCCTCCGCACCTGCCCCTCCCCGTTCTACATCCTTGTGTATGTCGATGACATGATTCTGCTCACTGCCGACCTTGGCGAATTGGAGCGTGTTAAGGCTGAGTTGGGCAGCCGTCTCAAATGCAAGGACTTGGGCGAGCTGCAGCATTACCTGGGCATGACCATCACCCGTGACCGCTCCGCCCGCACCATATCTCTCTCCCAGGGTCATTACTTGCAGCAGGTCTTGGAGCGGTTTGACATGGTCCGCGGTGGCGCCCAACCTACTCCTCTTTCTGTCGGACACCACCTCTGTCCACCCACCTCCCCCTCAGCCTCCTCCCATCCTTATCCCGAGCTCATCGGCTCCCTCATGTACGCCATGGTCTCCACTCGCCCTGACCTTGCCTACCCCATCAGCGTCCTCGCTCGTTTTGTTGGCGCAGGCAAGCATACAGAAGAGCACTCAGGCCGCCAAGCGTGTCCTCCGGTACCTTCGTGGCACCAAGGACTATGTCCTTACCCTTGGCGGTCCCTCCCCACCTCTTCTCAGCAGCTACAGTGACTCCTCCTGGGCTGATTCCCGGCCAGATCGTCGCTCCTCCCAGGGCTATGGCTTCTCTCTTGGCAGCGGCCTTATCAGCTGGCGCTCCACCCGCTCCTCGGCTGCAGCCCTCTCCTCCTGCGAGGCGGAATTGTATGTCGCCTCCATGGCTGCGCAAGAGGCCCGCTGGCTCACCTTCCTTCTTGAGGAACTTGGTGCCCCCAAGCGCTGTCCCACAATTTGGTGTGACAATGCTAGTACCATTCACCTCACCAAAGATGCAGTGTTTCACGTGCGCTCCAAGGACATTGAGCTCCGTCATTTCTTCATTCGCGATCTTGTTCAGGCGGGGCACCTTCGCCTCGACAAGGTTGACTCGGCGGCCAACCTTGCCGACATCTTCACAAAAGCTCTTCCTCATGCCGCTCACTCTTTCCTACTTCGTCTTCTTGGCCTCACTCCTTCTAAGTCGCCTCCCGCCTCTTGATTCTAGCCTTCTAGCCTTATGCATGTTGGAGGGTTGTGTTGTAATTTCATATTTCATACAACATACATAGGCTAGAAGTGTAGCACATTTATAAATTGGGGGGTTGCTTAGTGTACCTCCAACCACATTTTGTGGTTGCTTGGAATTGGTCCTTAGCTCAACCAATCCCAACCAACACACATTTGTGGTTGCTTGGGTCACAAGCAAGCTCACCCATTGGCCAACTTATTGGCCAATAGGGTAAGCTTCCCTCTCATCTCTCTCTTGCTCATTGTTTGTACTAAAGAGCCTCTTGGCTCATTATTCAATGTATCAATTCTAGCTTTCCAACATCACTCCCACTTACCTCGCTCGCCAGGTAGTTCCCAAAGCTCCTCTCTATCAGCACCTTTGCTTCCTCCATACAGTAAGAGGCTCCCCACCCGCCCGCCCGCCCGCCCGCCCGCCCGCCCACCCACCCACCCACCCACCCATGGTAGCTGGACGGACAATTCTGTGGCACACACTCCCAAGCACTCATGCACCCATGCTCTGCTTCCCACCCATGCTCTGCCTCCCACCCATGCTCTGCCTCCCAACCATGCTCTGCCTCCCAACCATGCTCTGCCTCCCACCCATGCTCTGCCTCCCACCCATGCTCTGCCTCCCACCCATGCTCTGCCTCCCATCCATGCTCTGCCTCCCACCCATGCTCTGCCTCCCACCCATGCTCTGCCTCCCACCCATGCTCTGCCTCCCACCCATGCTCTGCCTCCCAACCATGCTCTGCCTCCCAACCATGCTCTGCCTCCCCCCCATGCTCTGCCTCCCAACCATGCTCTGCCTCCCAACCATGCTCTGCCTCCCAACCATGCTCTGCCTCCCAACCATGCTCTACCTCCCAACCATGCTCTGCCTCCCACCCATGCTCGCCTCCCACGCACCTCGCTCGCCTCCCACGCACCTCGCTCGCCAGGTAGTTCCCAAAGCTCCTCTCTATCAGCGCCTTCGCCTCTTCCATGCTGCGCCCCCGCCGCACCGCCACTGCCGTCACCGGCTCTGCCGCTGCTGCCGCTGACGCCTCTGCTGCTTCGCCCTCCTCCCCTGCAGCAGCTACTGCAGGCTCGCCTGCAGCGCCGTTGCTGGTAGAGGCACCCTCGTTTGAGTCACCTCCATCTGCGCCCGTACCACTGCCCGCCTCTGTCTTCTCCTGCCAAACAGGAGCGCCCTGTGGAAAAGACACGTGGCAAAGAATGAAAGCGCATAAAAGAAGATTTGTTTTGAGATGTCTGAAAACAATACCTGCCACACAGGAGTGCTCTGTGCAACAGACATGTGTGACACCAAAATGAGAATGAAAAGAAACGGACAGAGGGACTGGGGGGAGGGAGAGGGGAGGGAGGAAGCGGGGAGGAGGGGAGGAGGATGCGTAAAACAAGAGAGAAGATGATAGGGTATGGAGAAATGACGGGCAAAGGCACGGGGTAGAGAAAGAGGAAGTGCAGGGGTTCACAGGTCGACTCAAAAATGTTTGAATGCTTATTGCATGGATGGGAGGGGCATGACTCAAGGCTGAGTCATGCGAGTCGTGCGAGTCATGCGAGTCATGCGAGTCATGCGAGTCATGCGAGTCGTGCGAGTCATCTCTCATTGACCCACCCCCATCAGACTCACCCCCAGTAGGTTAAGTACCATGCCATAGGTGGCCATGAACTGCGACACAAGCGGGTCAGTCCCTCCCAACAGGTTTCCGCTGTTTTTCCTTTGCTTTAAGCCTACTACACGCACGCAGCTCACTGAGATATGTCTAAATCTGCCGTAGGTGGCGTGGTGGTGAACTGCGACACAAGCGGGTCAGTCCCTCCCAGCAGCAGGCAGCACCACCTCCTGAGTCCACTCTCAACAGTCTTCACACACACATGCAGTGCAACCGAACTGAGTGACCCACCCTACCACATTGAACTCACCCCCAGCAGCTTGAGTGCCATGCCATAGGTGGCGGTGAATTGGGAGACGAGGGGGTCAGCCCCTCCCAGCAGCAGGCGGCAGCAATCCTGAGCGCCCTCGAAGGGCGTCTGCACCACCACCACCACATTGCGTGCCCCTGCCCCTGTGTGCTCTGAGATTGAGCGAGCGCCACACCACACCACAGGCACATACAAACACTCTGAGTGAGCCACCCCATGGAATGGAATGGAACTCACCCCCAGCAGGTTGAGCGCCATGCCATAGGTGGCCGTGAACTGAGACACAAGCGGGTCAGCCCCCCCCAGCAGCAGGCGGCAGCAGTCCTGCGCGCCCTCAAAGGGCGTCTGCACCACCACCACGTGCCCCTGCCTGTCCTTGCCCCGCCTCCCTGCCCGCCCCGCCATCTGCAGCATTGCGTTTGCTGAGAGCAGACTGCGACCCGCATTACCACTGTGCACAAGGTGAGGGGGAGTGGAAGGGGAAGGTGAGAGGGGAATGAAAGGGTGTCTGCACCACCACCACGTGCCCCTGCCCCTCCTGCCCGCCCGCCCTGCCATCTGTAGCAGCGCGGTGGCTGAGAGGAGACTGCGACCCGCGTTACCCCTGCGCACGAGGTGAGGGGGAGTGGAAGGGAAAGGTGAGAGGAGGAGAGGGAAGGGGAATGAAAGGGCGTCTGCACCACCACCACGTGCCCCTGCCTGTCCTTGCCCCTCCTGCCCGCACGCCCCGCCATCTGCAGCATCGCTTTGGCTGAGAGCAGGCTGCGACCGGCTGAGAGCAGGCTGCGACCGGCGTTTCCCCTGAGAATGATAGAGAGGGGAAGAGAGGGGGGACGAACATGAAAATGAACAAGTTAGCGGATAGCAACAACAGATGCCAATGCACGTACCATCGCACACACCATCGCACACACCATCGCACACACCATCGCACACAGCATCGCACACAGCATCGCACACACCATCGCACACAGCATCGCACACAGCATCGCACACAGCATCGCACACAGCATCGCACACAGCATCGCACACAGCATCGCACACAGCATCGCACACAGCATCGCACACAGCATTGCACACAGCATCGCACACAGCATCGCACACAGCATTGCACCTCTATCACACCCAGCACCATGCATCCATACCCGCCCAGATGCTTGGAGAGAGCAGAGAGCACAGTGGTGCGCGCAGGCATGTTGATGCCCGCTGACAGTGTCTCTGTGGCGAACACCACCTGGTGGGAGGAAGGCGAAGGTGGGGAGGGAGGGGGGGAGGAGGAGAGAGGAGTGGGGACTGGGGAGGAGGGGAGGGATAGAGGAAATAGCCGAGAGAGCACAGTGATTCGCGCTGGCATGTTGATGCCCGCTGACAGTGTCTCTGTTGCGAATACCACCTGGTGGGGTGTGGATGGGGGGAGGGCGGGAGGGAGGGAAAGCAGCAACGGTGAGTTAAGCCGCGGTTTGGAGAGGAAAGGGAAGGGCGGGGAAGAGCGAGGAGGGGGAAGAGGCGGAAGAGGACGAGAGATGCGGTAAAGAGAAGAGGGCAAAGAGAGGAGGGGCAGAGAAAGGAGGGGCAGAGAAAGGAGGGGCAGAGAAAGGAGGGGCAGAGAAAGGAGGGGCAGAGAACACAGTGGTGGTGCACACCACACCATACAGCACCACACAGCACCGCACGCACGGCACCACACAGCACCACACAACACCTCTCAGAACCACGGACCTTGACGAGCCCGCGTTGAAACAGGTCCTCCACGAACCCCTTCCAGGGCGGCAGGCACCCTGCATGGTGCACCGCCACTCCCTTCTTGAGTGCTTTCCTAACAGCCCAGCCCAGCAGCACAGCACCGCATCCCACCGCACAGCACCGCACACACCTTGACCAGCCCGCGTTGAAAGAGGTCCTCCACGAACCCCTTCCAGGGTGGCAGGCACCCCGCATGGTGTGCCGCCACTCCCTTCTTTAGCGCCTCCACCGCCCCCTCCCTCACCGCCTCCGGCTGCTGCTGCCTCAGCGCTGCTATCGCTTCTGCCACCTCCTCCTGTGAGCATGACAGGGGAAGGAGGAGGGGAGGGGAAGAGGGGAGAATGGGCAAGGGGCAGGGGCAACATTTGCTGCCCCCTCTGTCACTCCCTCTGGCTGCTGCTGCCCCATGGATGGCCCACCAACCTGTGCCCGTGAAAATTGAACGCAAGGGAACACAAAAGGTCCGACAAAGATACTTCCTTCTCTTGGCACACTCACTCGTCTTCATCCCTTCATTCACACTCACTCCCTCCCCCTTTCCCTCTCACCCACCTGTTCAGTGGGTGACAGCAGGTTGGTGCTCTGCATCTATTCCCTCTCATCTCTTCACACTCATAATTGAACAAGTGTTATGAGACGTCTCAAAATACTCCTCTCTCATCTCTTCACACTCACTCACCTTGCGCTCATTCATCAGCCCACCCACTCACACTCACTCTCCTGTTCACTCACTCATCTGTTCACTCAATCTCTCCTATTTATTCTCTCACCTCGTCCCTCCCTCACCTCGTCCCTCCCTCACCTCGTCCCTCCCTCACCTGTTCACGGGGCGACAGCAGGTTCGTATCCCGCACATGTGACACCCGCGGGCGACAGCACAAAAGACACGGCCGTGTGACACCCGCGGGCGACAGCACAAAAGACACGGCCGTTTGACACCCGCGGTGGCTGAAGATGAACCAGATGGCGGGCAGCATGTCCTTCTTTCTCAGCTGCCCCAATTGCTCTCGTGAATTCATTCCCTCTGCCCATTCCCTCCCCCCCCCCCCCTAGCACTCACTCACTTGCTCACCAGCCCACTCACTTCACCCTTCCCCCTCCCCTCCCCCCTACCCTCCCTCCTCCCCTCCCCCCTACCCTCCCTCCTCCCCTCCCCCCTACCCTCCCCCGCACCTGTTCACGGGGCGACAGCAGGTTGGTGTCTCGGACAAACGACACGGCCGTGTCGCAGCCTCGCCGACTGAAGATGAACCAGATGGCGGGGAGCATGTCCTTCTTTCTCAGCTGCTCCAGAGTGTCTCTCACCCGCGGCACCTGCCGCCGCCACTGCTGCTGCACCTGCTGCGCCGACAGCTCCTCTACTCGGTTCTTCGCCTCCCCCCGCCGCCCCCTCCCCACCAGCTCGGCTAACCCTCCCCCACTACGAGACAAAGCTGCTGCGATCCCCTTCCCGTTCTTGCTGCCCTTCTTGCCTACTCTCCCTGCGTCTCTGTCTGCTCTCCCTGCGAAACCCTTAGATTCCTTCCCTCGCTTGCCACTGCCGCCGCTGCTGCTTTGGTCATCCGCATCCCACCGTTGGAAGGATCTGCCACTGCCACGTGGCAGCATCCTACCGGACTGCAGCTCCTCCAAAAACGGGTCACCAGAAGGGCGCAGCAGCAGCTGACTGGCAGAGGATTAGAGGGATGTTTGGAGGAGGGTCGGGGGAAGGTAGGGGAAGAGTTACGAAGGGTGACGGGCGGTTGGGGAAAAGTTGGGGGATTGGGGGGTGTTGGGGGGGTGTGGGGGGGCGGGGGAAGAGAAGGTGTGGAGATATGGGGGAACCAAGGGGAGGGGGAAGGGAGAACGGGAGGGTAACAGCGGCAAGAACGTGCAGAGGAGTGGGACGAAACAAAGCAGAAACAGGGGAGGAAGGATAACGAGGACAGATGGTTGGAGAGGGAGAGTTTAAGGAGGGAGAGGAAGAGGGGGGGAAAGAGGAACATTGAAAGGGAGAAGAGTGGGAGGGGAGAGGGGGGGGGGGGGTGGGGGAAGGAGAGAAGCGAGTGCTCGAGCATACGGGCTGATGTCTCGGCCGCGATTGTCACGACGAGGCAGAGGCATGCGGTGGGAAGGGAAGGAGAGAAGCAAGTATGAGTGTGTGTGAGTGTGTGCGAGTGTGTGCGAGTGTGTGCGAGTGTGTGTGAGTGTGTGCGAGTGTGTGCGAAAGTGTGCATGCGCACGGGTTGATGTCACGGCCACGGTTGTCAAGAAGAGGCAGAGGCAGCATGCGGTGGGAAGGGAAGGAGAGAAGCAAGTATGAGTGTGTGTGAGTGTGTGCGAGTGTGTGCGAGTGTGTGCGAGTGTGTGTGAGTGTGTGCGAGTGTGTGTGAGTGTGTGTGAGTGTGTGCGGGTGTGTGCATGCGTACGGGTTGATGTCACGGCCACGGTTATCAAGGAGAGGCAGCATGCGGAAACGTGTGGAGAAGTGCCACTTGAGCGGTACCGGGCGGTGCTGTGAGGTGACGAGCTCCGTGCGCCCATGCACCTGATGGCAGCGGGGCAGGCAGGCGAGTGGGAGGGTGGGCAGGCAGGCGGGTGGGAGGGAAATGAAAATGGCAATGGGAGATGGATCATGGAATGAGTAAGTTGCTGAGGGAGCTGCTGGGCGAGATGGATGAAGTTGATTGGCCGGATAGCCGGATGAACCAGATGGCCAGCAGTGTGCCCTTCCTCCTCCGCTGATGCAAGCACAGATGCAACGCATGTCATATGTTGATTTTTTAGAGGATATGCTAACAGAGAGGATGCTGACTGGCAGAGGGGCAGAGGGCAGGTGGACACGAGGAGAAATATCAAAGTCAGCAAGGCGGGGTCAAGGAAGACGTGGAGGGATGTAGAGGTGCTGCACGGTTGAGAGCAGCAATGTTGTTGTAAGGGGCGGTGGCATCTTCAGACGAATCCTAGGCGAGGCGAGAAGGACCCAGGGAAGGGAGGAGGGAGAAGAGCGAGCAGCGAGACAGACCAACGTGATGGCTTGCAGACTAAGAAATCTCTCTCTCACTCACTCACTTACTCACCCTGCCAATCCAGTCTGCAAGCTCATCAGGGTTGGCGACTGTGGCGGAGAGGCACACTAGCTGAATGGACTTGGGGCAGTAGATCACCTGCAGGTAGCAGAGACAGGAAGAGAGGGAGGGGGGAGGTGGGTGGTGTGGGTGGGTAGGAGAGAATTCTGTCACGTCTCTCCCAAGAGATGTTGTGTAGGGGCAGATTCGATCGTAGCAAGCCAACCGAGCTCGCTCGTGCGTAGATCTACATGGTGATATCGATATACATGGATGGAACCTAACCAGATCTAACTAGGTGAACAACAGCGAGCGGAAGAAAGACTTAGAAAGTCAATTGGTAAGATTTTTGAGTCGACTCAAAAGTCACTTAGAAAGTCAATTGGTATGACAAAACATCGCCTGGGATGTGCGTGCCAACGCGTTTCGACCAAACAGGCCTTCATCAGCGCAGTGAGGGAGGGGTAGGTCGGTGGTGTGGGTGGGTGGGTAGGAGAGAATTCTATCGTGTCTCTTTCAAGAGGCAGGCACACCAGCTGAATGGCCTTGGAGAAGTAAATCACCTGGGTTATCACTGCTTGGCCTTGGTGCTCGCTCGCAGTGCACTCAGGGAGGAGAGGGTAGGGTGCATAAGGGAGAACCATGTTGGATGTGGTAGCAGGACAAACTGTATGTAGAATCAGTGATTCTATTTAACGATGGAAGTCGTTTTGACGTCCTCGTGGTAAGATATAATGTATGATTGTCTATATCGTTAGTCACGTTTTTTATGCACTTGATGCATCACTGATTTTATATACACTTTGTCCTGCTACCACATCCAACATGGAATGCTCATCTTCTTGTAGCAGACGTGGATGCAGCAGGTATGCTTGCTTGCATCGCAGATAGTCCTACAGCCACGCCGAACATAAGGTGAAGTATAATGTGGCCGAGTGAAACCAATCCCCGCCAGCCAGCCCTCCCCCCCTCACTCACCGTCTCCTCCCACACAGTGCCCCTTGAGATGTCCGACAGGTAGTGCACCTCGTCCAGAACCACCGCCTCCACTCCCCTCAGCCTCTGTTCCTCCGCCTCGCCCGCCCCCATGCTGCCAGGCGAGGAGAGACGGGGGGTATATCGAAATCACTTTTGAGAATTCTCAAAATGGGTAGGGAGATTGGAAGGGGAGACAGGGGAGGAGAGGGAGTGTGGGGAATGGGGGTGTGGGGAATGGGGGTGTGGGGAATGGGGGTGTGGGGAATGGGGGTGTGGGGAATGGGGGTGTGGGGAATGGGGGTGTGGGGAATGGGGGTGTGGGGAATGGGGGTGTGGGGAATGGGGGTGTGGGGAATGGGGGTGTGGTTGGGAGCAGAGAGGGAAGGAGGAATGGAGGGGGTGAGAGGCAGTGCACCTTGTTTATAGAAAAAGGGGAAACTCGAGAAGAGGAGGGAGGGGGGAATGGGAGGAGGGAGATAAATGACGTTCCATTCCAGTATAGTTACGTGACACACCTGGTGTAACTATTTTCACATCTCGCTCCCTTGAGGCAACGCACCTGTAGAGAACGTCGTAGTCACACCCTTTGAAAGGCATCTCAGTCCCTGAAGGTAGCGCACCTCGACCTGGTGTAGAGCACGTCACTATAGTCACACTTGGTGAAGGGCAACTCGTCTCAATATATTCACACCCTTCACCTGCGTAGGCCACCTCGCTATAGCGACACACCCCACTTGGTGCAGAGCACCTCGCTATTGTCATACCTGTTGCAGAGCATCTCGCTATAGTCACACACCACACCTGTTGCAGAGCATCTCGCTGTCACACACCACACCTGTAGCAGAGCATCTCGCCTTGCTATAGTCATACCACACCTGTTGCAGAGCATCTCGCTACAGTCACAACACACATGGTGCAGAGCATCTCGCTATAGTCACACACCACACCTGGTTCAGAGCATCTTGCTATAGTCATGCCACACCTGGTGTAGAGCATGTTGCGCTTCACACCTGGTGTAAAGCGTGTCGCTATAGTCACACCTGGTGAAGATCATCTCGCTATAGTCACACACACCTGGTGTAGAGCATGTTGCGCAGGATTTCAGTGGTCATGACGAGGATGGGCGCGTCTCGGTTCACTGCCACGTCACCAGTCAGCAGCCCCACGTTGCCCTCCCCAAACTTCACCCTGCCATGCCACATGGCAGCACAGCATGGTTGGGGGAGGACCGGTGGCAGGCCAGGTGTAACAAGCAAAAGGTAAGGACGGAGGCTTGCGACGGCGCAGGAGAGTAGGCGCAGGGGCAGAAGAATAGGCGTAGGGCGGGCGGCAGAAGAATAGAAAGCAGGGAAATCATGGCTCTGTTGCATCCTTGCCAAATGACAACGAACCTGAACTCTAATTGTCCCACCCACCTCCTCTGTGCATCGCATCGCACCTGAAGTCCCGGAGTTTCTGGTTGGAGAGGGCTTTGAGCGGCGTGGTGTAGATGAGGCGCCCTCCCCTCGCCATCGTGGCTGCTGCTGCTGCCTCCCCCACCAGTGTCTTGCCGCTGCTGGTGGGCGCACACACCACCACTGACGACCCTCGCAGAAAGGCCTCTATCGCCACTCGCTGTCAGGAATGAAGGGTTAGGATTAGAACATTGGAGAATCAGGGCTGATTGCAGTAAGTAAGCGCACGAAGTTCCTCCCCCACAAGTGTCTTGCCGCTGCTGCTGGGCGCGGCGCACACACCACCACTGATGAGCCACGGAGAAACCCCTCTCTCGCCACTCGCTCTGCATCAAATGAAAAGGTTGGGTTCGAAAATGAGAGAATCAGGCCTGATTGCACCTAGTGCATGAGGTGCCTCCCTTATGAGTCTCTTGCCGCTGCTGCTGGTGGGCTCCGTGCACACACCACCACTGAGGAGCCACGTAGGTAGGCCTCTATTGCCACTCGCTGCACGGAGGTTGACATTGGGGTTGGGGTTGTGTAATCAACACAGCTGCTGCTTACCCCACGAGTGTCTTGCCGCTGCTGGTGGGCTCACACACCACCACTGACGATCCCCGCAGGAATGCCTCTTTTGGCACTTGCTGTTGGAAAGGAAGGGATGGGGGTTAAAGAGAGAGAATCAGGACAGGATTGGTTGCGGCCAGTGCTGCCGCTGCCTCCCCCACAAGTGTCCTGCCACTGCGGGTGGGCGCACTCACCACCACTGATGAGCCTCGCAGGAACGCAGGTCCGCAGGAAGGCCACTATCGCCACTCGCTGTAGGGAGGTAGAGTTTGGGGTTGGGGTTGGATGAGGGTTCAACACTGCTGCTGCCTCCCTCACGAGTGTCCTGCCACTGCGGGTGGGCGCACTCACCACCACTGATGAGCCCCGCAGAAACGCCTCTGTCTTCACTCGCCGCAGGAGGGAGAGGGAGGTGTGGGGATGGGGGAGAGGCGGAAGGGTTAGGCTCTATAGACGGGATTGGGTGATTGGAACTCAGGGTTGAGGGTTTAAGGTGAGATTGGGTGACAAGGGTGTGAGAAAAGGGTTTGGGTCAGAGTTGAGAGGTGAACAGACACCAGCCAGGGCAGGCTGGAAAGTATTCCAATGGGTATCAGCAGAGAAGCGGAAACGAAGGAGGGGAAGTGAGATGCCGGAATGCGTTCGGCACTACAAGTGTGGCACGGCAGCCCATGAAGGTTGAGGAGGGTCGGACAAGAGTGCCGCACGCACGGCAGTAGTTTCTTGCAGGGCGGCAAGGACGCAAGGACAGGAGGAGGGTACACATGGCCCAACGGCTGTGATCATCTAGAGAAGGATCCAACGGCTGGCACCATTCACCTGGAACTTGTCAATGGGGTGGTCGAACAGCCTGGCCAGATCACGAGCCGTGATCACCGCACCACCACCTGCACCAGCACCAGCAGCGGTGGCATACTGAGCTTGCTGCACTCGCATCTGCAGCTGATGCACTCTCTCGCTCATGCTCATCCCCTCCATCCCCATCCCCTCCCCTCCCTCCTCCTCCTCCTCCTCCTCCTCCTCTTCCTCCTCCTCTTCCTCCTCTTCCTCTTCCTCCTCCTCGTCTTCATAGTCACTCTCCCCTACAATCACATCCAGCACCCCCTCCTCTAGCTCCTCCAGATCCTCCCCGCCCCCCTCCTCCTCCACCTCGTCATCATCCATCTCGAATCGCGTCATGCCTCCGCCAATCGCGGCGCCACCTGCGCCCCGCTCTCTCTGCTGCTGAAGCGACTCGAATCGCTCCATCAGTTGGTCCACCGTTCTAGTCACATTCCGCTCGTCCTCGCTGTAACCGCCTCCGTTATAAGCACTCGATGAGTTGTAGGCGCCTCCATATTTGCTTGTTTCGTCGTCCCAGCCTTGGGATCTCCAGCTGTTCGATCCGTTATCAACTGATTCGCTACCAACTCCGCCGTTTCCGCGTACCCCACCTCCCCGCTTCCCCTTCCCCTTATCATTTCGCTCTGCTCTCCCCCGTATGCCCCTCATACTGGAATTTTCCCTCATGTTTTCCGCCGACCGCGAGAAATGCGCGCCCGCGCCACCCCCCCCACTCGCCTTCGGCGTTGAAAACCCTAATCCTTGCGCCCTCCGCCATCCCCCCCTTTCCCCCAGTCCCTTACTCCGAAGTCCATTCCATTCGTGCCTTAGAAATGCACCCTTCCCCGCGCTGCTTATACACAGCTTAATTTGCGCGGAACGCGGAAGCGCGCTTTGAGCGGCGGAAGGGACGCGGAGCGAGGGGAGAAGAGGGAGGGAGATGAGGGGGAGAGAGCGGAAAGAGACGCAGGAGGAGGGGAGCTGAGGGGATCCTGATGCGAGACACGACGGGGTGATGACGGAAAAAATATTGCCGACGCGGGAATTCGATACCGCGACGCATTGCGAGTGAGCGGAAGCTGCCATAGGAACGACGCGTTGCGGCGAGAAGGACTTTCAAAGAGCCCCTCGCCTGCTCCCGTGAATATCAAAGCTTCGGGATATGTTGTTCGTATTCCCGGGCAGGCAGCTAGTCCACTAAGTCTCAGCTAGCGTAGCACAGCGTCGTCAAACGCACATTCTGGAAAGAGCAAGGCCAGTTGCTGAACGCGACGAGCGACGAGCGACGCCCACGCCGATCCTCATCAATGGTTCAGATCAGAATCATCGGAATGGCATAGAGCGTGGTTGTGCTGAAAGCGGGATGGACGGACATCCATATCGTATGTCCAACATAGTAGACATCTGGGATGGACCCTGGGTGAGTGCTGCTGAGGGGGTACAAAGGCAGCAGGACAGCCTTCACTTTCGGAATACAATTTCATTGCAGTTACCACCACTGCGTAGTGCGAGAACACTACGATGTTCGGTTCCTTCTGGTACCCTGAACACGGTACTCAGGTCATCTAGAATGCGCCCTCACTCAGAAATATCCACAAACACACCAGATATTTGTGCTTTGCATATTTCCCGCACTTTTCTGACTGTTGATGCGAGTCAGTGCGTGGTTTACACCGCAGTGCACTGCCGAGCATCTTACTCCACCGTTCTATAACAGGCTCGAATCGCAGACATATACCGTGCTAAACCGCACCAAATCGCGTAAAAACTGCAACCAGTCCAACCTGAAACACTGCATTCCTCTCATATCCTGTAGCGGGCTTGAGTCGATCCGAGCAAGCTTCTCGCTACCGAAGCGCGGCGCAATGCAATCAACTTCTTACGAGCTTGCACTATCCAGGGCTTGTTGCCGCCATTAGCATTGATTTTTAAAAGAATATCACCTTGGTGCCCTTAGCAGCGGATTCTTGATCCGTTTCTTACCCGTCGCCCGCCCGTAGCTCTATCTGTGCGACTGCCGCCCGCTGTCGTTGCGACGTTCGCGAAAGTCGCGCGTTTTCGTCAGCACTGTTTTTCGTTAACGACACCAAGTGGCGAGCGTTAAGCGATTGCAGCGACAATGCTTTCCTGCCGCGCGCTCTCATCCTGCGCGCGGCTTCAAATGATCCTCTTTTCGCACGTCCCCCTGCGACTCTCTACGACAAGCTGGCGATCACCTCCGTCACCGATCCCAACCGATCCGCTGCTTTCTCTGTCCTCTGGTTTCCCGCGGCAAATAAGCACGCGCCCAGCAGCTGTTGCAGGTCGACCGAGCGCCGGCAATTCCGCCGCGTCTTCAGGGAACGCACGAAAAGGTGCTACTAGCGACCGCGACAGTCAGACTCCCCGTGTTAAACCCTCCGCCCGCCTTCGGCCGCAAGCCGTTACTTCCGCTTCCGCCGACTCTCAAGCTACCCCCAATGCCAAGCCCGCGACCCGCCGGCGAACGCGCACGGCTGCTGCTGGCGCTGCTTCCGGCGCGCCTGTAGCGGATGCGCCAGTAACGGGTAGCAGTGCTGTTACCGCGGAGGGCGCGACTGTAACGGGCCCAGCAGTACCCGAGGGGGAAGCACCCGGGGGGGCGCAGGCGGAAGGGGAAGGGGCAGAGGCGCAAGGAGCGCGGGGTAGCGGGGCGATCCACGTGATCACGGGGCCGATGTTCGCGGGGAAGACGACGGCGCTGCTGGCGCGCATGCACGAAGAGATGGGGCGCGGCAGGTGAGAGATGGGGCGCGGCAGGTGAGAGATGGGACGCGGCAGGTGAGAGATGGGGCGAAGAAGATGAGAGATTGGGCGCGGCAGGTGAGAGATTGGGCGCGGCAGGTGAGAGATTGGGCGCGGCAGGTGAGAGATTGGGCGTGGCAGTTCGAAGCGACTGAAACCCGAGACCAGAAACCCAAACCCTTGCATTCGAACTGCCAAATCTTGCAACCCCAACGTGTGAGCGCGTGGCGTAGCAAGCACGTGGCGGTGCTGAAGTGGCGTGCGACACATGATACACACAAGGCCGTGCCTCAGACCCCAAACACTCAAACAATCCAACACCAAAACCTTCAACATCCAAACCCCAGATTCCGTTCTCACAGCACTGCAGGCGTGTAGTGGTGGTGAAGTCAAAGGTTGCCACGCGGTACGCGCGGGACGCAGATGACTGGAACCACAAACCTGAACTCTTAAACCCAAACCCTGCAGGCGTGTGGTGGTGGTGAAGTCAAAGGCCGACACGCGGTACGCGCGGGACGCGGTGGTGTCGCACGACGGCGCCGCCATGCCGTGCCTTGCTGTGCGCTCCCTGCTGGAAGTGCTTTCAGTGGGGGGTGCACATCGAGAAGCCTACGAGCAGGTAAGATGCTGACAAAAGGGTTGAGTGCGGTACTGTGTTTCTTCAGGTACGCGCGGGACGCGGTGGTGTCTCATGACGGCGCCGCCATGACGTGCCTTGCTGTCAGGAGCCTGCTGGAGGTGTTGGCAGAGGAGGGTGCAATTCGAGAAGCCTACGAGCAGGTGAGATGCTGTGCTGGACAGGGGGAGGTGCCGTGCGGTGCCGTGAGGTGCTGTGAGGTGCTGTGAGGTGCTGTCACATGACGGCGCCGCCATGGCCTGCCTCGCTGTGCGCTCCCTGCTGGAAGTGTTTTCAGAGGAGATGCCGCACCGAGAAGCGTACGGGCAGCAAGTTGCCTTGCCTCGTGGTCCAGCTGCTGGAGGTGCCAGCAGACAACGCAAGCTCTCCCTCTCCTCCCCTCTCCCTCCTGTGTCCCCTCCCCATGCTCTCCTCTCCTTCACCCCACCCCATCCCATCCCCCAGGCGCCAGTGATAGGGGTGGACGAGGCGCAATTCATTCACGGGCTGGTGGAGTCTTAAAAAATGTCCTCTCTGTCCACCTACCCCCTTCCCCCACCCCCCACCCCTCCCCCTCCTCCCTATCCCCCAGGCAGCAGTGATAGGGGTGGACGAGGTGTGGTTCATTGAATGAACCACTCCACCATCATTCACGGGCTGGTGGAGTGGCGCCTATAAAGCAGCCCCTCACCTCTGTCCTCGCCTCTCCTCTGTCCTCGCCTCTCCTCTCCACCCTGTGTCTTACCTGCCTGCCTCTGCAGGCATCGGTGATAGGGGTGGACGAGGCGCAGTTCATTCACGGGCTGGTGGAGTTCTCCTTGCGGGCGGCAGACCATGACGGCAAGACACTGTTCATCGCAGGGCTGGACGGAGACTTTCGGAGGTGTGTGTTGAGTGGTGTGCTACATGGTGGTATGCGATGATGTGCGGTGCTGTGGTGTGTGCTGTGCGGTGTGTGGTGTGGTGTGTGGTGTGTGGTTTACGGTGTGTGGTGTGGTGTGTGGTGTGTGTGTGGTCTGGTGTGCAGTGGTGCACGGTGGTGTGGGTGGGGTGGCATGCTAACTCACCCGTTGTCTTTTCTCTGCCGTTCTTCCTAACCACATGTACATGTGCATCTTTTTATATCCAACTGCTAGCCTCCGTGTGTCGTCCCCATCATTTAACCCCATTACCCCTCTAGTCCATCTCTCCACATCCCATCTCACACCAAATCATTCGCCCGTTACACACTTCAGTTCATCAGAAAGTCTATGCCCTTTTTTTATCTCTTCCTTGCCTTACAGAAAGCGCTTTGGCGAGTTGTTGGATCTGATTCCGCACGCCGACTCCGTGACAAAGCTTGCCGCCCGGTGCGAGATGTGTGGGCGGCCTGCGTCGTTCACTCTGCGGAAGACGCAGGAGACGAAGCTGCGGCTGGTGGGCGGCGCAGAGACGTACATGCCAGTGTGCCGAACACACTACCTGAGCGGGAAAAGTGTTGTAGATCTTACAAGAGATATAGGGGCTATGCATGATTCGTCAAAGGATGATTCGTCATAGCACAAAGCAGCTGATCAAGTTGATGCCTGGTGCCAGGGAGGGCATAGATTTTTTATGATGTTGATGCTGTTGGGAACAATAAGTCTTAAGCGCCTCTGTCGTGTCGAAACTCAGGACACAAAGCGAAGCAGTCCAAATTGAAGCATCGCGAGTCAACCCTCGGAGGTTAGGGTAACCGCCTGAAGGTTACGGGAAGGTCAAAGGTCAGCGACCTTTGACTTGACCAATACAGCGCGACAGCAAGGACACACAACTGACTCGACATTGAGCAGTTGCCCGAGTCGCACTGTATCGAATCGCAACAGCAAGGTAGTTTAATTACATCTATTCGTATTCCTTGTACTCTTATATAAATCTTTGTACTTGCCTGTTTTAATCAACTTACTTTGCCCTCACATACCAGCGCAAGGTGGTTCAAGGCTTACTTATTCAACGCTTC